TTTCCATATATGTACTTGCCATTTTTATTTCTTCCTCTGAGAAGTGTGTATTCATCTAAGATGTCCATTTTTTGGTTGAATCTTTGAATTTGAGGGGCCTGAATTTTATATAAAAATATTATATAGCTTCAATGTAATCTGTTCAAAATACCATTACCATACCTCACAGATCTAAAGAAAACATTCCTAAAACTCATCTGGAACCAGAAGAGACCTAGAATAGCAAAAGCAATCCTGAACAAAGACACCCTGCCACACTATCTTTGACAAAGGAGCCAAATATGTTCACTGGAAGAAAGATAGCCTCAATAACTTTGTTATTCTTATACAGGAATGCTACTGATTTTTGAGTTTTGAGTGTGTATCGTGGTATGTTAATGAATTTTATTATTATATCTAGAATCTCTTAGTGGAATTTTTGAGGTTTCCTATGTAGAGTATCATGTCATCTGTGAATAATGATAATTTCACTTCTTCTTTTCTATTTATATTCTTCTTATTTCTCTCATCTAACCGCTCTGGATAATGTTTCCAGAACTATAGTGAATAGCAGTGGACATCTTTGTTTTGTTCCTGTTTTTATAGTGAAATTTTTCAGTTTTTGTCCATTTAGTATGATGTTGAATATTGTTTTATCATATGTGACTTTTATCAGATTGAGATAAGGATCATCTATTCCAATTTTCTCTTGGGTGTTTCTCGTGAATGAGTGTTGGACTTTGTCAATAGCTTTTTCTGCATCTATTAACATGATCATGTGATTTTTTTTTTTTTTTTGTCTTTGGTTCTGTTGATATAGTATAGTACATGTATTCATTTGTGTGTGTTGAAATACCTCTACATTTCTGGGGTAAATCCTTCCTGGTCATGGTGTATAATCTTCTTGATGATTTGCTGCTTTACGTTTTCTAGTATTTTATTGAGGATTATTGCATCTATGTTCATTAGGGACATTGGCCTGTAGTTCTCTTTTTTCTTTGTGTCTTTCTCTGATTTTGATATCAGAGTAATAATACTTGCCCCCAGGAATGAGTTTAGGATAATTCCTTCACTTTAAATTTCATTAAAGATTTTGAGAAGTATTGACATTAAATCTTTTTAAATTTCTTATAGAATTTGCCAGTGAAGCCATCAAAGACACGAACTTTTCTTTTGTTTGCAAGGGTTTTTTTTTAATTTTTATTTTTTATTTTAGGGAAGTGTCTACAGGTTGTTCAGGGTCTCACTACTAGATTGGACTCTTAGTGATCTGCCTGTTTACAGCCTCCCAAGAGCTGAGACTACAGGTGTGCACCACCGTGCCTAGTCTCAGTTGCCGTCTCAGCATGCCCTGGGTGTGGGGCAAGAATGGCAGGTCAGGGAATTGAATCCCTGGGCCCTGGGCCTGCTTTCAGGTGTTTTAATCTGCTGAGCTATTTGGCCAGCCCTCTAAGTTGTTAATTACATTTTCAATTTTGCTAACTGATATTGGATTATTCTAAATTTTTATATCTTCTTGATTCAGCTTTAGTAATTCATATTGCTAAGAATCTGTCCATATTTTTCTGTTTTCCTTCCTATGAAAGTACAGATTTTCATAGTATTGATGATCTTGTGAATCTCTACACAAGATCTGTAGTGATTTCACCCCTTTCATTCCTTATTGTATCAATTTCAGGTTTTTTTTTCTGTAAGGTTGCTTAAGGGTTTATCAATTTTGTTTTTTCTCTCAGAGAAGCAACTGTGCAATACCTTGATTCTTTGTTTTCAATACCTTGTAATATCGTGATTGTTTTCCTAGTCTCCATTGCATTAACTTCAGCTCTGATCTTTATAATTTCCTTTCTTTTTGGGCTTTGGCCTTGACTTGCTCTTGTTTTTCCTAGAAGCTTCAGGTGCAACATTATGCTGTTTATTTATGCCAGCCTGGGATACCTAGTGAATTCAAGACCAGTTTAAACTACATGGTGAAAACCTGTCTCAAAAAACAAAAACAAAAAGCTCAAAACATGTAATAATAAAATACAAACTGAGAAAAAATGAAGGTAAAATTCTGAGGCCATTGAGCCTGAGAAGTACAATATTACTATAATGCAATCTAAGATATGAGTATTACCATTCATTAGGAAAATGCAAATTAAAGCACACATTGTCACTGCCCTGGTCTCTAGATAGTCCTCATATATCCCAGGAACCCTCAGACTCAGTCACCTTGACTAGCTCTCCATTCCACTTAGCTCTTGCACAGACATATATAGCACCCTGCTAATGCCTGCTGTAGAGGTGCTTGGCTGCTTCCTGACACTCTTGCTCATACCAAGCCTGCTGTTTCACCCCCTTTGTGTGCTTCTGTCATGTGATCTACATGATCGTCCCCTATGGTGATATGACAGTCAATCTCCAGTGTTCCTCTCTCCTTCTCTGTGTGCTCCTATGATAAAGAGGCCCTACCCATGGAGCCAGTAGCACATTACTGACATGATGTGTGTGCTTCCAAGACGAGGTTATAAAAGGCATCACCTCATTGGAGCTTCCACTTGGGGTGTGTGTGTGTGTGTGTGTGTGTGTGTTGAGGGAGAGAGTTTCTTAGCTATAGTGCCATGAAAATGTCCAAGGGATCTTATACAGTGGACCATGTGGCCAGGAATTCAGGACTTCACCACATCTCCAGCACTGCCTGCCCAACATGTGCCATCTAGATTAATATGTGAGAATCTTCCAGCATGTGGAAATTTTCAGTGACTGCAGCTCTGGTTGACATCTGTTATGGTTTGTATCTAAGTTGTCCCCTCAAGCCTCATGTGCTCCGGGGTGGGGCTTTGGGGAGATGACTGGATCTAGGTGTGTGTGATATGAGGATTAAGGGTATGTAGCACTAATTTAATCCACTGAATGGAATTAGCATAGTTAGTTTTAACATATGGCCGGATGGATTTACTGAAAACAGAAGCCCCATCTTATGTGTGGGGCTTTTTGGTTGGTACCACAGACCAAAAGGCTTACTTATAGTCTGGATGGGATAAAAGGGAAAAGCAAGCTGTTTGCTGTTTGCTGCTTTCTGCCTTTCCTGCCATGGATTGTTTGTCTTCTGTGATACCCTTCTGCCATACTGCCTCGCCTTGGAGCCAGCGAACTATGGACTAAAATCTCTACAAAATGTGACCCAAAATAAATCTTTCCTCCTTTAACTCGTGGGTGTTGGGTATTGTGTCCTAGAAGTGAGGAAGTAACTAAGCCAACAGCTGAAATCATTTGACAAGATAAATGGTTAGGTCTGAAGATTTTATTTTTATGGGACAATTTGTATGCAGTCATTAACTGATAACTAATTCAGATGGAAAAGTATGTAGCTCCAGTCTGTTCTTGGATTGCAGCTACGGTTTGCTAATTAGTGGAAGTTTGTGTTTTGACCTCTTAATCTAACAGGTTTTTGTTCTTCAATTCTGAACCAAAGGAAAGGGGAGGAAGGAGGGAGGGAGACCAGGGGAAAACAGTCTGGAGTTATTTATGGAAATTTTGAACTGTCACCCAAGGTGTCAGTATCTCCTTCTCTGAGACATACAGCCCCCTGGAAATGTCGCAAACTTTTTTTGGGGTCAGGGTTCCAGGGCAAACTCAGAAGACTCTTCTCTGTAGCCGTTGTCTGAGTTGCTCTAAAAGCATACAGAAGGGCCCCAGAGAGAAGTTAAAGAAGGAAACCCCCAAAGATAAACACTGGGAAGACATCAACACTTTGGAGAGCAGCCCCTGGCCAGACCAGAGCAATAGGGCAGAAGGGCAGAAGGGGTCTGGGAAGATGAAGAATGATTTTATCATCAGGTAATCCCCAATACCTGTAGCCCCTGGCCAGCTTCAATCTGTCACTCTAATCTGTGTTAGGAAAGAGAAGAGTGTAAAATGTTTGTGGGACACTTAGTTAGAGGCAGCTAGAGGCCTAGATAATTTGATCAGGGGTGGGGCCGGCTGGCTCAGGCGGTTTGCCAGCAGACCTCGGCTAGAGAACTTTGGTTTCCGGCCCTGTCTGAAGCCCTGGGGAGCACCTCCACGGGCAAACTCAGAGCCCTGGGGTCTGGCACAAAGGCCAGAGTTTTCCTTAATTCACCCCAACTAAAGGGGTAGAGCTCCAGACAAACGAAAAACAAAAATAAAAAACAAACACTATACAAATTGCTTGGCAATCAGTTAAACGATAAATCTCACCAAACAAGAGGAATCTAAATCCTTTCTCCAAGGGAGAAAAACAAAGAAAATTCCTGAGTTACAAGCAGAAGCAGGATTTGCAAACCCAGACCTTCCATGTGCTAAACTAAACCAAGAATAAGCAAGAAAATATGTTATTTGAATTGCATTCAAAATGTCTTTTACAAGAGAAGCAAATTACTTCTGCATGGTGCGGGGCACTGCAGGCAACAAATAGCGCTCTGCCTTTAATGGGTAAAATGACACAATTTGCTTTCAACAATAAACAAAAAGCCAGGGGTTTCAGATAGCATCGCACTCCCGCAGGCTCCTTACGGGCAGCTCCGCTCCCAACAGAGATCCGACTGTCCTAGGGCAGGGCGCCAACGGGGGACTCGGCCAGGTTCACTTTCTGAGCAACTCTGCGCCTTCACCTCTCTCCCAACTCACCGAAGGTTTTGGACCGGCGCCTCTCTAACGTGTCCCGCTGGAGAACGGCTGGATCAAGTGTAACGTGTTGTTTGTGCTTTGGACATAGGTCCCTAGGGGTCCCACCTTCTGTAGGTGAGCAACAACCTTTGGGGGCCTCCTGTGTGTTGGACCGCGCGGCAGAAGTCAGACGAGACTCCAGGCACACCCCATGGGTCTCAGCTTTGTGAGGCCCAGGTAGGGGCAGGACGCAGGAAGAGCTCCGGCGACTCGGAGCCGCCCGGGCCAAGCGTCCAGCACGGTTTTCCAGCAGAGGGCGCCAGCGCCGGCTTGCCCAAGGGACTGGTGGGGAGGGGGACCCTGATCTTGTAAGCCCGCCCGCCAGTCGCGGTCCGCCCCCCGCGCTAGTCCCGGCGGCCGGCGGGACACAGAGTCCGCGCCCGGAGCCTCCCGAACCTGCCGGTACCGCTGCCGGAGCCGGGCGGCGCCTTACCGCCGGAGAGGAGGACCACGAGGTCCCCGGGGGGCAGCAAGAGAAGCACGGGGAGAAGGAGCAGCCCTAGCACAGAGAAGGGGCTGGCGGCGCAGCACCGCACCCCCGCCCGAAGTCCGAAGCCTGTGCGCAACGGAGGGCCATCTGGCTCCCACGACCCACAGCATGGCCCGGGGCTCCGGGCTGCCACCGCGGTGCGCCCCGACGGTTTGGGCGGCCGTTGCCCTCTTGCTCTCTGCGCCGCAGACCTCAGGTAGGACCCGGCGCTAGCTCTGCGCACAGGCGAAGGCTCGCGGCTCGCGCGGCCGCCTCTTCCTCGGCTCTGTGCTCCGGCCGCCGCGCTGGCGCCGGTACTCCCGGGAGAGGGGCGCCTGCAAGGCCACGGATCGCCGGGCAGGCGGTGCGGACCCGCCCGGCGCCAGGGTGGGTCCATTGCCTCAGCCCGCACCCCCAGCCGCCAGGGGCTGGTTCCAATAAGCCACGCTGGGGCCGGCTGTTTCCAGAGGCGGGGGTGGGGTGAACGCGAGGGTCTGAGAGCGAATGTATAGCTGCGAGCGCTGGTGTTGCACTGCCCAGCCGTTGTCCGCAGATGTACCTATGGGTCTTGGGACCTGGACTTGGTCGCTTCGCCTATAGTTGACCCTTCCAGGAGGAAGTATGGATCCGGGTTCCCTGTGGTCCTGAGGCCCCTTCACCCGGTTGGGGTAATGCCTGGCGCACACAGGGGTTGGACAAGACCCCGCAGTGAGCGCAGGAGCCACTGGGGTCTAGATCCTGAAGCCCTTGATGGAAGCGCCTGGCTTCCCTTTGGTAGGATCTTAAATCTTTCTTGACGGCCGGAGACTGCCTAAGCGGTGCTTCTCGAGGAGACATCTGTATTCCCTGTGCAGTGGGGTGCTCAGCGCCACCTATGGATTTCAAGACTAGTGGAGGGGGCTGGAGTGGGCCAGGCTCCTTCGTGGCTTTCCCTGGCGGGACACTCGCGACTCCCCAGGCGCTGTGCGGACTCGGCCTCGAGAACTCGGGATGTGAGATTCCTGGAAGGTCGCAGAGGAGGTTCCGTGGGGGTTCTGGGGGTACCTGCCTGGGTGCCAGGAAGAGGCCCCTCTGGCCCTTGCGGTGCAGACGTGCGAAGCATCAAAGGCTTGTGTTTTCCTGGAGGGATTTTGGGCACCCTGCGGTGGAGCAGGAGGGTCGGTGGGGCTTCTAGATTCCGCAGGATTAGAGACTGTTGTAGTTCACGTTAGGTCCCAGAACTGTGAGACGTCCTTGTATGTACATGGATTTCAGTATTCCTGGCTCCCCTCTCATTCCTGCAAGCAGGTGTGAATTAGGGTAAAGCGCGGGAGGAAGGCTGTGAGCCCTTCCCGCGTCCTGCTGTGCATTGCGAACTCTAGGTATCCAGTTTTGCCGCCCTGGCTAGCTGCACTTTATTCTGAGGTGGGGGTTGGTGTTTGGGTTTAGGCAGATGCTGATTGCATCAGGGGTTCTTGATTACTTGAATCGGTAAAGGACTTTGTATTTAATTCCCTGCCCATTAAAGCATAAGTAGTTTAGAGTGCAGGATAGAAAAGTCACATTCCAAGTCAGTGTCCATCCCTAACAACCCTCCTTTTAGCCCTCTCCATTTGGAAAACTTTTACACTCTTGAGAGCCTTTTACTGGAAGGGCGGGTTCTTAAATGTTGCCTGTTTTACCTGTGAGTGTGAAGGGTGTGCTGGTTGTCACTTGGTGGTTAAACTGTTGAGCAGCAATTCAGCCTCACACACCCTGTGGCTAAGGCAGCTTCAGATGCATCTGGGTCAGTTACTGTGGTGAGAGGTTTTGAGCTGGGGGATGAGGGGGGTGGGTGCATCCACGGCCCCAGTGAAGGCTGTAGGACTGTCCATTGTATTTTGGATGGAGGAAACCACCATTCCCAGTGCAAAGTAAGAACTGTGTGATAAAGCCATCCACGGTCATTTTCTTTGAACCCCAAGTGGAGCTAATTTCCTAGTGAAGTAATACATTATAAAGGGAGGAGCAGAATGTAATTCTTCTTAATGGAAACTCCTTAAAATATGGTAATTCCATACAAAATATGAAAAAAATGATATGACCACAGAGTGTTCAGGATCTTTTCTGTGGCAAAGAGAAGTTTCTTTGTACCTTGAATTTTTTTTATAAGTGAAATAATTTGCTACATAAAAACACTCAGAGGTTGTTGTAAAGGATTGTTGTGTTCTCACTCTACATTTTTACAGGAAGTCTGTCTGCTACAGGCACCAGTACCTGATTTGGGACCAGGCTGCCCTCCTAGGTAGCATAGGTTGAGGGTGATAGGGTTTAGGGTCCTATCTCCTGAGATTTTTTTTTTTTTTTTTTTTTTGCAGAACCGGGGATTGAACTCAGGCCCCTGCACTTGCCAGAGAAGCACTTATTCCACTGAGCCATCTCCCCTCTCCTGAGATTTTGATGGTGCACTGTCTACTTCTGGCCCAGTTCCCCAGTATAATGGGCATTATAAATAATGATATTAATCCATCTAGAGGAAAATGAATGAGACTATGTTGTGTAAACCATTGTGGAAACAAAAGATTTTGTGTATGTAGTAAGGCCAAATGTTTTTCTTATTGTGGCATTTTATCAAACAAAGAACTACACATTGGAAATTTTTCAGTATTTAACAGTAAGATCGAGTTGATCCCTGGCATCCACTTGAAGAATGTCACCATGAGAATCTGGGCAGCCTGTGAATGGCATACTCAGTGTAACTGAGAGGTGCTTTACATTCACTTAGGTTTTAGCTTTTTTGCTGTGCTGGGGATGGGAGAGCATGCTGGGCTGTCATTCTGCCTCTGAGGTCTATCTGCAGCCTGGGGATATCTTTTATTGGAGAGCAAGTTATGATTAGAAAACTTAAAAGAATTCTGCTTAATATTTTCTGTATGAAAAAAGCAACATGTGTTTGAAATGCACTTTTCTCTGAGGTAGTTTTGGTGAGGCAGTGTGCAATGCCATTTGGATTTTTCGTTAAACATTATTCCTATTGTGTATGCAAAGCACAGTCATAACTGGTGTTTTTGCATCTCTCTAGTATGGTGTGATTTGCAGTGAGTCCCTTCAACCTTTAGGCTATATTTAACCTCAGGGACTCTTAAAAAGCCTGGCAGACCTTCAATCTATGTGGCTCTTCCTTTGGAATCTCTTTTGGGTGGCAGTGAAATAGAGATGCAGAAGAGGAAGCTGTTCCTAAGAGTAGTAGGAAGATTAATCCCCTTTGGGAGGATTTCAAAGGGAGAACTGGCCCTTCTTTAAAATGCATTCCCTAGGAGGCCGGGCTGCGAAGAGGCATCCTTATCATTGTAATGAGCTGGCTGTGAAGTGTCTAGGCTCCCTAAGGCAGGACTCAGCTAGTCTGATGAAGTGCCATAAGTTTGTGCACCCCATGAGTCTTCTCAAAGGGAGAGGACTAACTGCGATTCTAGGCTGCATTTCAGGGACGAGAAAGTGACTACCAAGTTCTGTCCCTGCCCAACATTTATAAGCATCCTGTAAAATGGCATAAAACCTTCTGATGTTTATCTTGTTTATTTCCTGGGAACCCAGAGCCTGAACTGTAATGAACACTCTTTCTGCTGCCCTGGGGTTCATTCTGCTGAGTCCCACAGGGGCCCCTGAGGGCTGTCTGTCTTTACATTTATGCACTGGGAGAGACTCTTGTAAAGAAAGTTTTCCTCAGGGTGTTTCCTTCTTTGGTGACTGCCAAGGGGACCCACAGTTTCATGCAGATATGCAGAATTTCAAAGTAAAGGAACTCTGGGCTCTGCTTTGCCTAGGAGACATCTGATGCTGGGTTTGCATTTTTATTGGTTGAGCCCCCCCATTACATGGTCAATAGCAATTTTGTGAAAGGATAGTTGGGCTAAAAGGGCTTGTTTGGAAAACATTGCTCTGAGCTTCTTGGTTTTGTATTGTTTCTCTGCTTTGGGGAACCAGTTAAGAGTTCATGGTTCTTGAATTTTAGAGTAAGAATCCAAGCAATCAGAGGAGCTGCAGCCCCCTAATTATGGCTACAACTGTCTGGGGTTTATACCCACCTCCTTTTTCTAGTGTGTTTTTATTTGGTTTTGTTGGAAGACCTCGCCAAATTGGAAATGAGGGTGGTACCACTCTGTTGGCACGTGTAGTTGTCATAAAGGCTGAATGGGGGTTTAATCTGTTTAAAACTATATTAGCAGCATGGTCAGGAGTGGGTAGACAATGTTGGCAATTTTCAGAAAGCTGTTCAAAAGTAGAGAATTGCAAAAAAAAAAAAATAGAGAATTGTGTTGCTGTAGCTTGCACCATTGATGGGATTTCTGGGTGTGCTTTCTTTTCCTAATTCTAACTTCAAAAGAAACAAAAAATTCAAAAACCAATAGGAAGGAAATAATTATAGAAAAAATTAGCCTAATTCAATTGTGTAGGTAGCTTTTCTTTTTAGAAGGTCTTGGGTTCCCCTGGGAGGTGTGGGTGTGTCTTTGTGTTAGAATGAGCTTCAGTAAGTACTCTTGTCACTTTTGAGATGTTATTGGGAGAAAGTGGCTGCTGCTGCTGCTGCTGCTGCTGCTGGTGCTGGCTTCCAGGTGTGGGAGAGTCTCTTCCTTTCCTAAAGCTCTCAGCCTAATGATTTCCACACCCACCTGAAGGGAAAGTTAAAATAATACATGGTTAAATTTGAGAGACATTTTGGCCAAGCCATTGTAGATGTGCTGTGGGACGTAGTAGATTTGAGCATGCAGTTATTTAAATTAAAATTAAATAAAATTAAAAGAAATGAAACAAACACTTTGTCCACCTTATTTAGGAAGACACTGCAGGGTTCTGATGGAGATTGCATTGGATCTGTGGATTGCATTCAGTGGTACAGTATAACCATCTTGACTGTTTTGAGTCCATCTTTATACTTGTTTAGATAGTATTTAATTTCCTTCATTAATGTTTTGTAGTTTTTAGCATACAACTTTTTTGTATTTATTAAATCAGTTCCTAAGAATTTCGTTGTTGAATGCTATTGTAAACTGAAATTTCCAACTTAATTTTGATACTATTATAGCTAAAATTTTCTCCTTAATTTTCTTTTTGGATTGTTTCTTACTGATTTATAAAATTGCAGTTAGTTTTTGTGTGTTGATTTTCCATCCTACCAGTTTGCTAATTTAGTATTTTTGTGGATCTTGTTTTATTTTCTTTTATTTTTTTTAAACATTTGTTTCGAAAAAGATTTATTTT